TGAACCACGTGGAATAGCATTAAGTAAACCTACAAGGGTAAGAAGATATGCTATTTCGAATGACTATGTGGTTTATTTGCAAGAGTTGGATTATGATACTAGCATTGATGAAGATCCTGTTTCGTTTTCACAAGCCATTAACAGTGACTTGTCTCATAAATGGATTGATGCTATGAAAGAAGAGTTAAACTCTATGGCTAAAAACAATGTTTGGGATCTAGTAGAATTGCCAGAAAGTTCAAAACAAGTTGGGTGTAAGTGGGTCTTTAAGACCAAACGCGACTCGAGTGGCAATATCGAACGACATAAAGCTAGACTTGTTGCCAAGGGTTATACTCAGAAAGATGGCATTGATTATAAGGAGACTTTTTCACCTGTTTCTAAGAAAGATTCCTTGAGGATCATTATGGCTTTAGTAGCTCAGTATGATTTAGAGTTACATCAAATGGATGTGAAAACGGCCTTTCTTAATGGGGACTTAGATGAGGAAGTTTATATGGATCAACCCGAAGGTTTTTCCATAGAAGGAAAAGGTCACATGGTGTGTAAACTTAAGAAGTCAATATATGGACTTAAACAAGCTTCCAGACAATGGTATATTAAGTTTAATGATACCATCACGTCTTTTGGTTTTCAAGAAAACACTGTTGATCGGTGTATTTACCAGAAGATCAGTGGGAGTAAGTTTATATTTTTGGTTCTATATGTTGATGATATCCTACTTGCTGCTAATGATTTGGGAATTTTGTATGAGACTAAAGATTTTCTCTCAAAGAATTTTGAAATGAAAGATATGGGAGAGGCATCCTATGTGATTGGAATTTCAATATTCCGGGATAGATCACAAGGATTGTTGGGGTTGTCTCAGAAAGCATATATCAAGAAAATTCTTGAGAGATTTAGTATGAACACTTGTTCATCAAGTGTTGTCCCATTACAGAAAGGGGACGAGTTTAGTCTTATGCAATGCCTTAAGAATGATGTGGAACGAAAGAGTATGGAGTCAATTCCATATGCTTCTGTTGTGGGCAGTCTGATGTACTTGCAAACTTGCACGAGGCCTGATATTAGCTTCGCTGTTAGAATGCTTGGTCGATATCAAAGTAATCCTGGATTGGATAACTGGAAAGCTGCAAAGAAAGTGATGAGATACCTTCAAGGGACGAAGGATCATATGCTCACATTTAGGAAATCTGATTGCCTTGAGGTGATTGGATATTCAGATTCAGATTTTTCTGGGTGCCTTGACAGTCGCAAGTCAACGTTTGGCTATGTTTTTCTCCTCGCCGAAGGAGCAATTTCATCGAAAAGTGCCAAACAGTCTGTCATAGCTGCATCTACCATGGAGGCTGAATTTGTGGCTTGTTTTGAGGCTACAATTCATGCATTATGGCTGCAGAACTTTATTTCGGGACTTGCGGTTGTCGACACCATTACCAAGCCGCTGAAATTGTATTGTGATAATTCCGCAGCAGTTTTCTTCTCCAAAAACGACAAATATTCCAAGGGTGCAAAACACATGGAATTAAAGTATTTTGCCGTTAAGGAGGAAGTTCAGAAACAAAGAGTGTGCATTGAACATACAAGAACGGACCTTATGATTGCCGATCCGTTAACTAAAGGTCTACAACCAAAGACATTTAAAGAACATGTACATAGAATGGGTCTTGGTTGTATTGATGATTGATTATGATGATGTTATGACACACTCTTGAGCTCATTGATGTTATGTTTCTGACTATTATCGAATTTCTTGTTCATTATAATTTTGTATACATTATGTTTAGAACAAGAAATAAATGTCTTCATGACAATTAAGTGGACCTTATGATATTTATATATAATTATGAAACTTGATGTGTTGAACTATTAGTGTAGTAGTATATGGAAGGAAGTATGCGAATCGAGAGTGTACAACCGCCATAACTCTCACTATATGGTTTATCATGTCATAGTTTATTATGATGTATGGCATAATGAGATTTGTTTATGTGCACATAACATTATACTATTAAATTATGGGCTTTCGGACCAAGTGGGAGAATGTAAGAATATGTGGCCAGAAAGCATTGGGCTCACATTTAATTATCCTATTGGGTCAGACCTTATTTAATAGTCAAACAAATCTAAGCCATTAATCTGGATATTTGATGGACGTACATGATCTAAAGACACCCCTATATAAATTAGTCCTCTCTCCTCCTATTAGGGTACGCAGTCATAATCCCATCACTTTTCTGCTACGTTAAGATTGGACAGGAGGGAGAAACTAATTTATTTCTAACACTCGATCAAGCCTCTTGTGATCATCAAGATCAAGATCACTAATTATGTCGTCTTCCGCATCAAGTAAGTATTTCGTATACACCAAATTATTTATTCAAGATCCTTAATGAGGTTTACAAGCTTAACATAATGATCTTTTTATAGCTCATCCCGGAGACATCATCAGACTATTGCACATAGTGACCGCAAAATGGATCTCACTTTTTGGTGAATGAAAGTAGCAGCTACTATATGCGCGTGTCTGTTTATATCTTACGGGTTAAGAGTACGCAGTAATTAACTAAGGTCTAGTTTGTTTACTCGATCAGCATCAAACAAACTTATCTTCCGCGGGTTCCGTTCAATACACATTGTACTAATGCAACCAATTAGTCAAGACAGGCTGTATAATTGACACCAACGTTCGCGATTGTTGTTCAATTCCATTTAAGTTGTGAACAAAATATTCATGTTTTACAAATAACCAATATAAGATCTTTTGTCCATCTGTGATGAACCACAATATTTAAGTACAGAACATCATAACGTGGACTATTTAACTAAACATGATTCTCGTTCAAACGAAATTAACGTCGACAAAAAGTCGAACTTTCAGTATGCACCAACATGCCTAACAAACTGCAATGCCTACCTCTCATTCTCCCGAATCCTAGCAAGGCTAGTGCTAGGGTACTGCTCAATCAGTGAGCGCTTGTCCAAGCTTGATCACTCTTGAGTTAGTTAATTTTGAATAATTGAACTCAATATATTCTATATTTTAATTCTTTTTATTTAGAATTAATTTATCATTCATGCTTAAATGATTTGAAGACTTTTTTTTTTTTGAATCTTTTATTTACGAATAGTGAAATTGGGAAATAATACAAAATTATTTTACTTACAATAAATAATATTTATTTATTTATTTATTTATCCATTAATATGTTTATGTACAAATCGTGAGAATTAATTAATTTATTACGTTATGCGTCAAAATCTAGTGAATAATGAGTAATCTATTTTTTTTTTTTTCTTTCAAAGAATAATGAGTAATCTATCAAAAAATAACAAATCAATTATTATATCTAATATAAATATATATAAAAAAATACGATCTTGTGAAAGATACAAAAAAATCTTTTAAAAAATAACTATAAAAAGAACTCCCATAAAAATTCTTAATATAATTTTTTCAGTTCAAAAAAGATGGGTCGTGGAATTCAAAACAACTAACTATATTCCTAAAAAGATGATAGTACCCAGGCTGTAAGTCTTGCACCTAAAGTAAACGTGTAATATATTTTTCATAACAATAATCGCAGAATTTGTCTAGTCAATTTTGTAGTATGTATTTTTACTCTTGCAATTTTTTTCCAAAAAAAAAAAGTATTTAATAAATTACTTTTTACTGATAAAAATTAATTTATAATGATGTACATTTTCGTCAATATTCGATCCTTTCCTAAAAGAGACAACCTAAGTAGGGGTTAGCGCGGGGCGGTACGGTAAATCTCCGAAACCGTACCAAAAGGTCGGTTCAGTTCGGTTCGAAGATTTTTATTTTTCGGTTCGGTATTCGAGACTATTGGGACGGTTCGGTTTGGTATGACTTGGTTTGGATCTTTGGAGATTTCTTATTCTTATTTTTTTTTTTTTTTTGAATAGCTACATAGTTATATTTTAATTTTTATATGCTTTAAAAGACAACATTCATCAATATTTCATCATATTGAAGATTTATTTTGAAATCAATTTTAGAAGTAACTCTAAATTTTTAGTTATTTAATTTTTATATGCTTTAATAAAACCAACATTCATCAATACTTCCTCATATTAAAGATTTTATTTTGAAATCAACTTTAAAAGTAACTCTAAATTTTAGTTAATACTAAATTTGTGTGACTAATATTGAAAATTTAAAATTTATACAAAATATAATATTTTTTATTAAAAATATATTCTTTAACCTTTCATATTATTGTAGATAATTATTTTATAATAAAAAAATCAATTGTAGATCAAATATTACTAAGCATGAAATTTAAGTGAAAGGATCAAAGTTGACATAAATATATCAATAACACATCTAATGTTATAATTCAGTTCTTTATTTCGGTTCTTCAGTTCGGTACGGTATGAGACGGTTCGGTTCAGTTCTCGGTACAGATATTTGTGAAATCTCCAGAACCGTACCAGTTATTTTTTTTTGGTTCGGTACGGTTTGGAGAAAATCAAACAGTCAACAATTATATTTCGGTTCGAGTGATTTCGGTTCGTTTTTCAGAATGATTCAAAATTCTTCAAGTCCCATGTTCAACCCTAAATATGAGGCATGAACTTTGTATTATAATAATAATCTCCATCTATTTTTTTTTCACATTTATAATTTGTTGTGGACTTGGGACATTTTTTTAATTTTGCCTTTTCCAAAATCCAAACGCTGCCTTAATAATAAGTCAGATGGAGAAAAAAAAGGGATGAAATACGCGACGACCAGAAAAAGACTTTTCCGCCCATTTCATTTATTCTTATTCTATTCGTTTTTTTCCTCTCTCTCTCACAAAAAGGGATAATTATCTGCCCACAAACAAACGCACACATTAATTGGCAGAGCCTCTGTCAAAACTCGGCGTTGTTCCACAGAATCTTCTCGCTCCATTGTTTCTCTCTCTCTAAACCTCGCCCATTCACACCGCTCATATACTTTCACATATCAAGATCTGGCCGGATAAAGGATGGGATCGTTGAATCCACCGGAACTTACCTTGAATTGCAGCCTCTCGTCGGAATACTGGGTTCCGAAATCGACCGGAGAGTTTCTTGTCGAGGTCTCCAGGACCCAGAGCGTGTCCGAGAAGGTTTCCAAGCTTGAAGATTACGTTAATCGGTTGCAGGAGGAGATGAAGAAGATCGACGCGTTTAAGAGGGCGCTGCCTCTTTGTATGCTCCTCCTCACCGATGGTGAGATTTTGAAGAACCTCGTCTATTTCTGTAGATAGCTGTGTGTGTGTGTTTGTGTGTGTGCGTGCGTGCTTTATTGCTTTCGATGTTTTGATGTATGTGTTTTTCGCCGGAAATGCTCGTGTTGGTGACGATTGATTTTACTGAGTTTTCTGATTTGGTGATGATTGATTTTCATTACAGTCATAGCGACAGTGAAGAAAGAGCTAATCCAGTGCAAGAGCTCGATCGGTAAGCCGGTTATTGAAGAATTTATACCGTTAAAGGAAAATAACACCGATGAAAAGGATGAGAGGGGTGAGGGGAAGGACAAAATGAATTGGATGAGCTCTGTTCAGTTATGGAACTCCGATGGTAATCACAACAGTAGGGATAATTTCATCAACAATAAAAAAGTAAGAAACATGGTAGATAGAACCTCCGTATTTCACTAGTATTGTGGCAAAGGGTTTTGTTTACCAATGATTAAGTTTTTTTTTGTTCAACTTGTTTTTGGATGAACAGAGAAAGGAGGAAGTGATTAGTCGACCATTGTTGGACGATTTGTTTCCAAATGGTAAAAATCGGAAAATCGAAAGGGGGTTTGAGCCTCCGAAGGGATGCAATGTTTTTCCGGTGATGAATTTAGGCAAAGAAACAATTAACGAGCTGTCGGGAGTAACAGAGCTTTCACTTCGTACTCCTGAAATCAAGAGCTCAAAGGAAGAGATTTCACCGGTTAGTTTTGGCCCGAAATCTAGTTGTAACAGATCAGGTTCTTCGTCTGCATCCAATGGTAAGGAACAAACTAATAGGAAGCAAAGGAGATGCTGGTCAGCCGAATTGCATCGCCGGTTTGTTTGTGCTCTGCAACAACTCGGAGGTCCTCAAGGTATTAAAATTGAAAGTCTAAAAAAGAAAATAGATGTATATTTTTCAATTGGATTGGTTGTTATCTGTTTAGAGCAGGGGTTGTTGTGATAAAGCTTTGTTTGCTTTGATGATAAGCCAAGTGTTTTGTAAGATATAGTGCTTGTTTAAGTTGTCATTTTCTGAATTTTACATTTTCAATTGTTCTATTACATTTAAATTAGAAATAGTCTCATACTCTGAACATATAGGGTGATCAATGTTGTGGGTTGTTTCTTTTAGTTGGACCTTTTGATTTTTCATGGAATTAGAATTTTTTTTTTTTTTTTTTTTT